CTGATATCCGATGTATTCTTCAAGAACCGTTTTTTTTGGCCCGGCGGCCGGTATGTCAGTTGATTCTGTGAGGGTGTCGGTGCCTTCCTGTGAGAGTCCAGTGAGTGGTGGTGCGTTGTGGTGGTTGCTTTCCCATGCAAAATCAGCGCCCCTGTGACGGGGATCACACTCAGCACCCGAGTGGGACGGCTGAGCGGGACACACTTCGACAATTGTATTCAGTTAGCTCAATTTCTCCGATGGGAAGGAAGGTGAAGAACCGCAAGGCGAAAAAGTCCGGTGACTTGAATTGTTGAAAAAATGTTTCACTCGCGCGGCTGGCTGCAGTTCATAAGCGGCTGAGACCTGTTGTGGGGTGGAATACATGAAGAACCATGAAACAACACGCGGAAGAGTGGGGTGAACAGCTTGTGCAAAAGTTGTGTGGCAGGTACACACCAAAGCGTCCTTTGGTGCTTCCCCTGTCACATCCTAGCTTCGTTGGGCCAGGTTGGATGTGACAGGCCTGGCCCCCCTGCCTGTGAAAGGTGGTGGTGGAAAACCCTTTGTCCAGGGGTGGACACACACACACACACACACACACTCCGAGGAAGTTGGTTGTTGAGCTGTTGTTTCATCTTTCGACACTTCGCGCACGAAACCCATGGTGCCCCCGATCTTGTAGCATCGAAGTCGATGTTTCAACCCCAATCTCGGGCAGCTTGTGAAACATGGAGAAACACACGAGTTCCTCCAGGTTGCAAACACCCGCCCGACACATCGCAAAGAAACATAACTGTCAAACGTTTTCGTTGGAAAGAGTTTTGCTCGCTCTTTTGTTGAGCCCCAAACCATCCAAATCGCAGCTGCTTAACCGCACCTCACATGAAACACATGGGGGGAACCCGCAGGAACCGTGCGGCGACCGGCAGGCTTAGCTAGCCTCGAGCCTCGTGATGCACAAAGAGGGCTTGGGTTGATATAATTTGTTCATGTATATATATATATATACACACCAGTATAGTCACAAAGATGGTGGTGTTTAGTGCCCAAGTGAGTGGATGTTCTGGGCACCCCTAACCTCCATTAAGCGCCCCTTTGTGACTGCTGGTATATACCATCATATCCGTTGGGGATCCAGTTGTACCTTGACACGGTGATTGGAGACACTGTGATGCAGTTTTCGATCCCTAGGGATAGTTCATAAAATACATATATAATTAGGTGTTTTGCACATGCCACACTGCAACAACTCGTGGACACGTACACAGAACATCACACAACCCTGGTCAAACCCTTCCATGTTTTTGTGTGGCTTCTTGGCGGGGAGAAAAACTCGAAAGTGGTTCCAGGTCCATCATCTTCTTCACATCCCCCAAGTGACGTGCAGTTTCCCATCGTTGCGGTTCTTCCTTTCGGTCCCTCCAGTTCGTTGCACCTCCTCCAGGTTCCTCCTTCCTCATCTGAGGGGCGAAGGTGAGGGCTGCCACGGGGACCCAGAACTGCCAGGAGGTCTCGTCCCAAAAGGTGGAGACCTCCGGTCTAGCGACCGAGCGGCGGTCGTTGGGACCGGTGACCGGGGTCTTCTTGGCTCGAAGCAAACACGTGTGAAAAAAAGGAACAAGAAGCAAACTCAGAGTTCTCATCTCACCAGAGTTCTCAGATGTTGGATGTTGTCATGCGGACGATGAAACTGGTGTTCAGGAGTCAAACAACAACTTAAGAAGCTTTTTCGAGGGTACGCGACACGTCTGTCTTTGTGCCCGTTTGAGCCACTTTTTGTTGCTATTCATCTATTCAGTGGGCACTTGAAAGGGGAGAGGACGAACATGGTGCGAATCAATCAGTTTCTTCCTTGCATTCCGCATCCCCATGACCTCAAGTGAGCTGCATCCAGGACCTGCCAGGATTCCAGGACCTGCGACCAACTGATTGGTGCAGCGAGCTATGGGGATCATATTTTAAGAAACACGTACCCTCGCTGGTCTTATCCTGCACTACTGTGGATTTTTGGGACGGAGATGGGTCACTCATGGTGGGGACCCCCCTATGGAGGCCACAGCCACGGGGCTGCCTTCAATAAGAGTCCAGCGTCACGTACGCACCAGCAGGCGAAGACTGTGGAGGTGTCAATGTTGCTGTTCTATTGCGTGGCTAAAACTGGAGTGAAACCACAAGTTCCCAAGGAAGTGAACCCCAAGTGACAAGCAAGCCAAGTTCTCCATGCAAGCCAAGTGAACCCCAAGTTCCCAAGGACCGACACATGGTCTGAGGCACCACTCTTGAGACTCTTGATGTCCGATCCGTTGGAGCTTGGTCGGCATCCTCGCCGCTTGCCCAACCCCACCTGATCCCAAAAGAAGTAAGCTGGAACCAGGGCAAGCACTGAGCAACTACAGCCACAGCACAAGGTCACCTGCAACAAACCGCTGGCGGCTAAGGAGTCGGACATGAAGAAAGCCCACTTTAGGTTGGCTTTGGAACATGAACACTTCGATCGAGATGAGGGCCCCTACAATGTTCCTAACGGGTCTCTAACCCCGCTTGCCCAACCTTGTTTCTTGCAAACATTTGCCTTTTCAACCCATGGTTGGGAGCTATCCAAGCAACTCTGACCATAGCGTACGCTTAAGAAAGGCTCGGTCCTGCAAAGCAGGGCCTAGTTGGTGGCTCAAGATCCCAACCAGCACCGTTGATGTTTAACATCCTTTCCCTACGGATCCAAATACCTTCTCAGAAGGTACTTTGGACCCTCCAAACCTACATAACAGTAACAGTGTCTCCACTCACCTTCTGAGAAGGTACTTGGATCCCTAGGGCGTTAAGTCCAAACAAGGCATTGAAACCCACAACAGCCCTCTCTAGCGTCTGATAACAGCGGGGCTACAAATCCCAGGCGTCACTTGAGGAATCGACGTTTTCTCAGCATCTCGTCATATTGCCATAACACCAACCAGACCTCAAATATACCAGGACCATCAATGGACTTTCCAATGGACAAGCTTACACTACTTGGGGGATCTCCATTGGACACCCTTTGGATGGTCCAGGTCCAGGTACATATATACTATAATCATGCGTCTCAACATCGGCAACTCTGCACGGGGGCCTTCTGGAAATAATGGGAGTTGGATGGAAATTGGTGGAAATGGGTCGTATGCTGATTGCTCAAGTCAACATGGAAGCTCAGTCCCTCAAGCAAAGTTCCGAAGCTCAAGTCGAACGGGTCAGCCCAGGCCGAAAGCACCCCGTAGGTGGACTCCCTCCTAGGCTTATCGAGGCCTCCGTAGGCTATGCTTTTTGAACTGGGTGGAAGGTACTGCAACAGCGACCAGTCTGTGTTGTTGGGCCCCAACACAGCTGGTGGGGTGAAGAAGACTCCTGTGGGATTCCAAGAGCCATATGAATGATATTTCATGGCCTTTAATAAAGAACCCTTGTTTCACTGAAGGGTACTTCAAAGGTCAAACCGGTCACAAACAGGCCTGGAACAAGTCACAATTCAAACGAGTCAAAACAGGTCACTTGTTTGGAAGAATCTGTTGGTCTCCACGTTGCCTTGAAGGGGGCTCTTCTGGGTGCCTTGAAGGCCTGGATCTTGAACGCACACAAACCTCTCTCAAAGCACGCTGGAGCCGGAAGAGTAACTAACTTAACATCATAGAACTAAACAATCAGCACGTCATTTGGAACTGAACCACATGGCACAGCGGCACAGTGCCACTTAACAAAACTCAGCGTAGCAAAATATTCGCAGCATTCCGCATGTGTGGGTCCTCTCTCATCCAAGAAGCTGGTGCATTGTAGCAAGGATCGAAGCGCGCCCACCAGGACTGGCCATGTTGTTGGTTCGGCCCCAGCAGCGCCATGTGGCTCGCAGATCGCACACGCGCTCGTTCGCACACGCGCGAGCCGCTCGGCTTGGGCGTCACCAAGGTGAAGGCTCAACAATAGCGACACCAGGCACCCTCATCGGCTCACTGTACATATTCGTTTATTAACATGGCAAGATTGGTCTTAAAGATTTCATGAATGGGGATGAATAGGGTCAATCCTTCTCAAGTTCCTCCAGCTTCCATTTTTGCTTCGTCGGTTTCAGGCCCCCCCCGGGGTCCACGCCGGCCCACGCACCTCGCGACGGCCGTTCTTCTGGCGATCCAGGCTGACGAGCTCCTCCTGCGTTCGAAGCACCTGCACGGAGCATCCGCACGACGTGTCCACCATATCCACCGCAGCGGAGGTCGGCTGAGCGGTCGTCTGACGTGAATTGCTTCGAAGTGTGGTCGGCTCCAACACCCCGGTGTATTTTAATAGGGAGTATCCCCGACCAATGGGTTTTGGTTTTGATCTATTTTCCTTCTTCCAAGGGGATCTTTGGGAGGCCTCCCTATCTTTATACACTCACATCCACCACACCTGAGCCACTCATGAGTCACAGTCCGGTCCTGGTGGGCGGTTTCTGGCTCCCCATGGAGGAACACGAGCAGTGATGGGCCAGCAACGCAGCTGGGTTTGAGACTGTCTTTTGATCTCTTCCGGCTAAGGTGGTTTCTGGACCGAAGTCTTGTGCAATTGGCGGCACTCCGAGCTTTTTCGTGCTGCAGGGCCCCAAACGAGAACGTGCGGAGGAAGAATGAAGAATCCCATCTTTCCCTGAGGCAGTCAAGATCCAATTCTGCGGCCTCGCGTGGGACATGAAAGGGCAAAACAATACGAACGGGTCTCACGGTGCCAATCTTGTGCCTTGAGACAAAGGCTTTTGGAGAAGCCCTCAAAAGGAGATGGTCTGAATTGGTCTGAACCAGCACCCCAAGGGTTTTTATAGACCCTGACAATGTGTCTACCAGCCCATATATAACCATCCTGGCCAGCTGGATTTGTTCTTGAGACATGAGATATGATACAATTAGGTGTCTTGGATGAAAAAACTAACATGGCAACCAGCCAGTCATCCCTCCATTTTTGTTATAGTTGTTCCTTGTTGTTCTATATTTTTCTCATTCTCTCTCTCTCTTTCTGCGGTGCCCTTCCTGCGTTCTCTATTTTTTCTGCCCGCGGTCGCCGGTCGCCGTTCAGTCGGAGTCGGAGTCCACGCCCAAAGAGGCGGCCAAGCGGAGCGCCAGGTCGCAGGCGCGGTCGCGGCGGGCCCCGTGGTCTGACAAAGCACGGATCTCCTGGTGGAAGAAGGGAGAAGGGATGGATCCAACACAGGAAGGAGCCCAGTTCTATCCCTAACACCTCAGGTTCGGTAATTACGACTGGACACTCCTGTCACCTACATAACAGTGTCTCCATCATCTGCTGAGAAGGTGCTTGGATCATCCCCGTGTGTACTGCCAGGGGGGTCCTCACCTTGGAAATTAATGTTGAAATGGATTTTTTTCCCTTGGAGCAGACCTCTGAGAGAAGGCCCTCAAATAAGCCAAGAAGAGGGGGGGGGTAGTCGCTCATGATCACTATATAACAATAAGTTAAATCCTGTCCCCTGACCCCTCCCCCCCCCTCAACAACAACTTTTTAAGTTCATGATTTTTCTCCTGTCTCCTGACCCCCCCCCCTCAAAAACAACTTTTAAGCTTACATTTTTTATCCTGTCCCCTGACCCCCCCCCCTCAATAACAACTTCTATAACTTCTTAATCTTCTTGACGGGAAGAGGCAGGGGGGATTGGTGAAAGATTGTGAAAGCTAGCGGGGTGGATGCCTGTCAAATTTGCCGACAATTGATTCAACATTGCTCGAGCGCTTGCAGCTTTTGGGTTTTTGAAGAGTTCCGAGGAAGGCAGCGATGTCAGCTGCAATGTGTTTGCAATGTTCAACTGGCAGGGAAATGTTTGTAATCTATTTCCTCAGGCGTCTTACTTCAAGATAGGTATGATAGGTCACATGGTCAGCCCCCATGAAAAATATTCCAAATTGAGTTTCTTGACTTTTTGAGTCTTTGGTGCTGTGTCTGGAGTGGGGGTAGTTGTGTGTGGAAAGGTTTGTTATTTATTTCCTGGGGTGTCATCCTTAAAGATAGGTAATGTCAATGAACATGGTCAGCCCCCATGGACAAAAATTGTTTGACACTTCCCTTTTGGACTTTGTGAATCATTGGTGCTGTGTCTGGACTCGGGGGTGG